CAGAAAGCAAACTTGTGGTTATGGGGGGAGGGGGAGTTAGAGATTTGCAAAGACTAACTGATATATGTAGAATAGATTAACAACAAGATCACCCTGTACAGCACAGGGAACCATATTCAATATCTTGTAGTAACTCATGGTGGAAAAGAATATGAAAATGAATGTACGTGTGTTCATGTGTGGCTGAAGCACTGTGCTGGACACCAGAAATTGACACAACATTGTAAACTGATTGTACTTCAATAGTAATAATAAAGAAAGACAGCATGCCCTTCAGCGCTCCTGGCGGAGCCCCTGAGGGTCTCAGGGCGGAGGAGAGCAGGACAGTGGCCCTAGGTAGTTAAGGTGCAGAGCAAAGGAAGGATTTCAGTGAGCCAGACTCGTGCATGTCTCACACGTAGGAAAGTTCTAAATTCATTAACTTGAGGTACCTTGTTTTTCTTTAATTAACAGCAATCTTTAAATATTCCACCTACTTAGTTTTTGTTGGAAAAACTCTTATATATCCTGGCTCCTCCCCTAACTCTTCAGAACAGCCAGTCAGAGCTATCTAAGAGGCTGTCTCCCAAGGTTAAGTCCTCAGAAAATCCACAGAATAAAAATAATTCTCAACTTTTAGGTTGTGCATTTCTTTCAGTGGACACATCAGTAAAACAGAAGTGCAATAACGAATTATCTATTCAAAGACAGTAAGAAAGCTAGTGAAAGGAAAGCAGGATAAATAAAAATTGAATCAAAGTGTAAGACATCACACTTTTTCAAATTAAATTCATTGGTTGCTAGCATTGTTTTAAAACAAAAACCTTTTTTTTATTCTTATAAGAAGCAAACTTTGAGATAACTTTGAGAAGTTTACCTTATAAGAAGATAAACTTTGAGATAGAAAAGGACGAATTTTATAACAATGAAACCAAAAGATTGTCATGCATCTCATTAATGCCAGACAGCATAAATCTGGAGGCAAAGCACCTTCAGTGGGATATTTCACAGCGGGGGAAAAAATGCACACACAGCATATTCAATTCAAACTACAAACTTTGGAAAAAAGCCAGATTGAAAAACCAGTGCGCGAACCATTATACCTTATCTACAGAAAATCAATGAGACGAACTGTATCAAATGCCGCATCGGAGATCTTGTGAGAAACAGAGTCAGATAGCGACTGTGCGGAAAGAAGGGAGAGAGCCCATCCACCTGGAATTCTATTTCTAGTGACTTATTCCTTGAGGTAAAGGGGAAATAGACTTCCTAAACAAAAACAGGGCATTCCTTTGTCAGCAGATGGACCCGGTAAGAAATGCTACAAAAAGTTTTTTCTGGCAAGACATAAACTTATGCAGGTTAGAAACCTTGATCCTCATTAGGAAAGAAAGTGAATCAGTGAAGGAGTAACGGCAGGAAAATAGAATATTCTATTTCTTATTGTTAACTGAATGAGAAATAAGAACCACTGTTTGGTTACAGTGATTGTGGTGATTGTGAGTTCGGTTATGACAGCTCCAGGAAGGGAGATGAACGAGGCAATGTTGTCAGGCCCTGGCGGGGGGCCTGGGGACACGCCAGGGTCCCTGCACCACTTGTGAAGCAGCACGGTGCTATCTGAAGGGGCACATAGTCGGTTAAAATGCGTTCAGGCGATTTTGGCAAGAATGGTAAAGTAAGCCTCCCCTCCTCTCTAAACCCTTTCTGTCATAAGAGCAACAAGTACCCCGGCAAAACTTGTTAGAATAAAACTTTTCAGAACTCTGGAAATTAGCAAACTCCTCGCACTAATCTGGGTGTGATTTAATCAAGAAAATGCCTGCATCTTTGTCAACACAGCAAGGCTGTGGTGTGTCTATGCATCTCCCACTTGCCCTCTGTTGACTTGAAACCATCAGTCTGGGGCCGCCGCCGGGGCGGGGCGGGGCTCCAGGCTCCTCCTCTGTCGCCCTGCCCTGGGAGAAACCACACACAGAGAGCTCCTCTGATCTCTCCGCTGGGAGCCTGCAGAGCACAAACAACTTTTCCCTATCGACATTCGTTGAGAAACAGAGCAATGGTTAAACACTGTGGCTCTTGAGGCGGTAGAGAGTATTCGGGGCAAACAAGAAGCTAACCAGAAAGCTCACAGGGAGACGCTGGGGGTGAGATGTCGTAGGGGGCTTTGAAGACACAATTTTTATACGGACAAAGGTCTCGAATCGACATTTCTCCCAAGGACACATACAAGTGGCAAGTGGTCAACAAACACATGAAAAGACGTTAAACACCACCAGTCACTAAGAAATGGAAATCAAACCCGCAATGAGATTCCACTTCACACCCAGGAGGATAGGACAGCTGTCACCCCAAACCCAGAAAATGACCAGTGTTGGCAAGGAGGCAGCGTACTGAGACAAGAGACAGCTGGACGGTCCTCCAGGACACGCCGAGGGAGAGGAGGCTGGCACGCAAGGCCACGCGTTGTACGCTTCCTTTTACACGGCTTATGCGGAATAGGAACCTCCACAGAAACAGAAAGCATATCAGTGGTTTTCGGGAGATGAGAGGGAAGGGCGGTGTTTACTGGGCACCGGATGTTTTTCTGGGGTCACGAAACGTGTTGAAACTAGAGAAGAGTGGAAGTTGTACAACATTGTGTGTTCACCAAATGCCCCTGAACTGTACAGTTTCTTTTTTCATTCCTACATTTTTTTCTCTTTCCACCTCCTCTGATTAATCAAAATACTGTCTTCATCTCCCTTTTCTTGTTCCCTCATTCCCTCTGCTTCTTTTCACATTCATCCCTTTAACAAGTATTAATTGATAAGTATGCTTCCAGTCAAATTCACCTGCAGCTGGCCTCCAGGCATGCTTTCTTACTGCATAGCCTTCACCCTCGAGCACCGCCCTGGCTCCGTGACCCCCACCTTCCCGTTCACCCATCATGTGTACACACGACCACCCCAAGTGGCATCACCCACACCCTAACTCAATTGTGTGTCTCTTGACCAGCCCCCTGCACCAACCCCGACACCAAAAATCCTTCCCTGTTCTCCCAACCTCGCTCCTCTGGTCTCCTCAGGCAACTCTCCAAAGCCGGGACCCCTAGACAGCAGCGCCACGTCCCTGCCTCTCTCAGGGCTCGGTGTCACAGAAACCATTGTCCCAGTGCGGGGCTCACTCCCCCTGCCCTGCCTCCCCCATGGCTGAGGCTGAGGAAAGGGAGGAGGGGAGGAAGCTAACTGCACACTCTTTACCTCGATTTAGAAACAGCAAGGAAAAATAAGAGGTTAGACTTCTCCCTGGGCTTCTAGAAGCCAGGCACACACGTAGGGCGGTGTCCACACTCAGGAGAGCCAGAGGGACCCTATACACAGCCCTCCTCCCCCGTGCCTTCACCCACCCTGACCCTACCCGGCCTCGGAGCCGACTTCTCTGCCTGAGGAATGCGGCAGCCATGCTACTGACAAAGACTGGTTCCGGAAGTTTAAGAAACATTAGCTGGCCACAGATATCATCAGGAACGTACGTGCCACCGAGGTAGCAGAATGACTGGGGTTCATCCCACAGCAGCTCCAGTTCTGCTTAGCAAAAGTGGCCCCGCAAGCACTCGCGTTCCACGCCGGGCTCCACGCC